ATCTACATCATTAGACCTCCTTTGCCAGTACCAAAATATAATAGGTGCTGGCAAAGGAGGCAAAGGAGGTCTAATGATGTAGAGCGCCTTAGCTCAAGACGCTTTCCATCGTTAGTTTGGCAGCAGTGGCACAATCAGAATCAGTGTTTATACCCTGAGGAATCCTTTTCTGCTTCCACGCGTTTGTGATGCTGGGTGTTCCGCTGCCCTTGCCCACCTCCACCACGCCGCTTTGTCCTGCGCCATCTCTCTTTCCGCTCCTCGAGCCACTGTGTCCGATCGCACCGCATCGCCCCCCCCCCCCTCACCTCTTCTTCTGCCTTCCTCTTGATCTATTTCCTTCTCCTTGCATCACTTGCACCTTCTGACCCACGTAATTTGCTTGCTGTCTCTCCACATTGACCGAACCACACCAGAGCCTTTTCTCTCTCCCATCTTCTCTGTGATTTCTACCACCTTGAGTCTTCCTCTCACTCCTTCATTTCTAACCCTGTCCTTCCTTGTCGAACCCAGCATCCACCGCAACATCCTCATCTCTGTGACTCTCGTAGCTTGGTCCTCCCTCTTTATTGTGCCCCAGCAGCACTCGGCCCCATACAACAGCACCGGCCTCACCACTGTCTTGAACTATATACTCACTACGCTATATACTACTACACTACACTATACACTACACACTTTTGCCTCCAACCAAACCGGGACCCTCTTATCGCACACCACACGGGTCATCTCTCGCCATTCCAGCCATCCAGCCGTTGTTCTCGTTCTCACCTCTCCTTCTAGTGACCCATCAGCACCACATCGTTGTTGCACGCAGACACTTTAACTCGTTCGTCTTCCTTAACTGGTCACTTCCGATTTGCAATCCGTTGAGCCACCAGGAATCCGTTGAGCTATAAAGCTCTTTGACTCACGCATTTCCAACGGAATGATGTAGATGGCAAGGGGCAGTATGCAAGGGCCGAGGAACGAGTGACCACATCAGGGGGCACACGTGGGGATGTCACGAGAGGGCTACGGGGGAGGGACGGGACGGAGTGGAGGGGCGAGGGGAGGGAAGAGGGAAGGGAACGGGCGATGGAGGAGAGGTTGAGGATTTAAGAGAGGAGCGGAATGAGGTGACGGAGGGAGACTGCTTCATGTACAGGGGTCGTAGATTCTAATGGTCGGTGGGAGGGTGAGCGGTGGGGGGGGTGTGAGCAGTGGTGGGGGGGGGGGGTGTGAATGGTGGTGGGGGTCGGGTGAGCGGTGGTGGGGAGGGGTGAGCGGTGTGGAGGGTGAGCGGTAGGTGGGGGTGAGCGGTGGTGGAGGAGGGGAGGGGCGGGTGAGCAGTGGTGGGGAGGGGTGAGCGGGTGGGGGTGAGCGGTAGTTGTGGGTGAGCGGTGGTGGGGGGGGGGGCGGGTGAGTGGTGGTGAGGGGGTGAGTGAGCGGTGCGGGGGGTGTGGGAGGTGAGCTGTGGGGTTGGGGGGGTGTGCGGTGGCGGTGCATGGTGGGAGGCACGTGCCTTGCGTGACCTCCGTACGACCGCGTGACCTCGACGTGCTCCGTCGATCGCCGTCACCGTTCGATCGCAGCCACTCCACATTAAGGGTTCGAGGAAATTCCCAGCGAAAAGTCTCCCCCAGTAACCCCTCCGCCTTTCCCCCTCCCCCATCTCCACCCTCGCTCTCCCTGTCTCTCTGGAGAAGCATTTATTATTTATTTATATCGAGGAACGCGACCGCTGGCCTCGCCGTTGTCATCGTCGCCGAGGGGGCTCCGGTGAGACGCCCCCCCGAGATCTTTCATCATTTTCAAGCCAAAATTCACTGGGGCTCTGATTCTTTTTTGTTAAGTAATGCACACGCACACGCACACGTACACACACACACACGCACACGTACAAAGATAAAGATCCCCCGTACACATACGTACACACACATGCACGCACACACACGCACGCACACACGCACATGTACACACATACGTGCACACACACACATACGTACACACACACACACGCACACACACACACGCACACACACACGCACACACGCACACGTACACACAGGCACGCACACACGCATGCACACACACGCATGCACACGCACACACACACGCCCTATATTATATTTACTACAAAAATGGGGGTGGGGGGGTGTGTTGCGAGCCGTGACGCCCAAAGAAACCCGATGCCCGGCCCCGAACAACTCCAAAGCGACGCTGCGGAATCAGCGGAGAGAGATCTTCCATCCTCCTCCTCGTCGGAGGCCTCTCTCGTCCCAAGGAGTGCCCAGTGCTCTCTCTCTCCAAGAGACAGAAAGAGGAGAGGGCGGAAGAGGCAAGGGAGAGGTGACTGAGAGGTGAGAGAGAGAGAGAGGGAAATGAGAGAGAGGCAAGGGATGGAGAGAGGGGGGGCACATAAAGCATAGCATTGAAAAAAAAATGATGAACGAATCAAAGTGCCGACTACACCGAGCATCTTCTTGTTTCCTCTGATCGGAATAAAAAGAGAGGTGAGAGAGAGGAGAGAGGCCAGTGAGAGAGAGAGGCAAGATATAGAGATAAGTGAGAGAGAGGAGAGAATCAAGGTGTAAAGAGAGAGCGGTGAGAGAGAGGCAAGAGAGAGAGCCCACGGCACCGTCACCACCAACGCCTCCTGACGCGCGTCACCGACACGTCCACGGAGTGTCGGTCCTGCGATAAAGTGGAGACGGTGGCGCACCAATACGTGGAGTGCAAGAGCCTGGACTTGGCGTTCAAGGTCCTGAGAAACATCCTCCTAAGATTCAGCCTCCACTTCTCCCCAACGGTCCTCATCTTTAGATACCCAAATGGCGACCGACCCCAACATCTTCAGGGGCTGGTCAACGTGCTCGTCGCTACGCCAAGCTCGCCATGTACAGGGCGAGGAAGGTGGCCCTGGAGGGGAAACGTCCGGCCAGCAGCCTGGGCATCTTCCGCGCTCTGGTCGGAGCCAGGGTGTGTGGGCTGGAGTTCCGCCACGCGCGTCTGACCCACGCCGTGCCGGCCTTCAAGGAGCAGTGGGCGCTGGAGGAGGCCGTGTGCTCGGTGGCAGATGACGGGGAGCTCCGCGTGGAGTTATGCGCTACCCGTCGGAGGCCGTAGGACTGCGAAAAGAGCTGGGTGCAGATGCAGCACTTGTCATAGTAAAAGTAAATAAATTATATCTATAACATAGAAAACAGGGGGAACATAGACATCGAGTAGGGAGAGAGGGGGTAGAGAGAGAGGGGAGGGGTAGAGAGAGGGGGTAGAGAGAGGGGGTAGAGAGAGGGGGTAGAGAGAGGGGGTAGAGAGAGAGAGAGGGAAGGGGTAAGAAGGAGGAGAGCAGAGCGTGAAATCTTCAGTGAAATCTTTCATTTAAAAAAGGGGGGGGGGGGCACATAAAGCAAAGCATTGAAAAAAAACGAAAAAAAATAAATGATGAACGAAGCAAAGTTCCGACTAGACCGAGCATCTTCTTGTTTCCTCTGATCGTAAAAAAGAGAGGTGAGAGAGAGGTGAGACAGAGAATAGAGGCAAGGGAGAGAGAGGGGTGAGAGAGAGGCAACAGAGAGAGATGAGACGTAGCCATGCAGCCAGCGGAGAAGATTGGGGGATGGGGCTGCATCATTATCCGTGATTTCTCTCCTCGCCCGATGATGACACTTCACCATCATTCACCGGAACGACCAGCAACCCCCAATTTCTGGAGAAAAAAAATCTTCCAAATGGGAATTACGAGCGTCGTTATTATTATTGTAACTTTTTTCTGGTGGTTACGGGTATAAAATAATGATTTTCTAAACATCAGCTACCTTCTCCTGTAGGGTGGTTGCGGTGTGGCTTGTTTGTTTACGACGTCGCTAGTCAACTGGTGGCCTCGGCGAGGCCACTCTGCAGGAGAACGGGGCCACCTGCCGAACCACACAAAGGCAAAGGACCCCCTGTAGCCCGTGCAGGCTGTGGTGGCAAGTGCTGTTCGCGACTACCAGCGCCTATGAGGGCCTCCATGGCGCACGAAACGGGGGTGGGTGGCCACCACCGCGCCCGGCCGTCTTTGCCTCCCGAGTGGTGATGTTTACTGCGCACCGGACCAGGTACTCATTTGAGGCTGAGTCGACCTAGGCGAGGACCCAGAACCTTTTCAGACAATCGTCACCGGTGTTGGTGGCCGAGAGCGGGAATCGAAACTCGGGTCACCGGGTTCGTACTCAGCGCAGCGCTAACCGTTCCCCCACCGCTCTCCCCTCCAACAACAACACGCACACATGCGAGTGCAGCAGCCTCAGCAGCACCGTACGTACGCTTCATCTCGGCCTTATCGTGACCAACAGCTCGGCAGAACTGGACGCGAGCGGCCGCCGTTGTGTCGTTGGGCACCACCCGAGGCTCGAGAAAATGCGGCCGTTCCGACTGTCGCGTCCTTAGCTTTGGGTCGTGTTGCTGCTGCTGCTGTTTGTTGTTTGTTGTTGTTCGTTGTTGTTTGTTGTTGGTGCTCGTGTACCACTTGCCAACGCAGCAGCAGCAGTCTGGCCTTTGCACCTGATTGGCTTTACAAGTGTCGGACATTTCACTTTACCCAGCCCTCTATTTAAGATCGACACAGGAGGAGGATTTCGCCGCAACTCTGTGGCTGTCGCCTGATGATGTTGCTCGTTGTTGTAATTACCGGCGTAACACCACGGTACTCGAATAGTAACTGTTGTGGTTTGTTTACTCTCCAACGCACAACCGGTGCAGTGCTGAACTAATTGGCATTTGTTTGTTTACGTGTCAAAACCTTACTAGTTATATTCACGCGATCTAACCCAGTAACCTCGATGATGAGCAGCAGTCTCATCGACTCACGATAATCGCGGCCAATCAACTGAGCAGTCAATCACTTCAAGTAATTGCCCACCAACCAACCAATCAAAGCCATCGATCGCTCGCTCGCTCGCCCGCTCGCTCCGTCAATCAGACGACCGCTGCCTTCGCAGGTGGACCTCAGCGGACGCTGTCCGGGCGCCGGGACGATGACGACCACCACGACGACCACGACGACGATGGTGATGACGATGCTGATCTACCACCTCCAGATCGGCGGAATCCCCGACGCATCCGCACACACCACCACCACCAGCAACACCGGCACCACAACCTCGGCGCTCACCACGAGCCTGCTCACCATGACCCTCACCCTGCTCACCTTGAGCTCGCCGTGCGGGTTTGCCGCCGCCGCCCGGACCACCGGGTCCACCACCGCCACCACCGGCGCCACCGCCGGCGCCGCCCGGGCGGCCGCCGGTGCCGCCAGGGCCACCGCCGCGGCCGCCGGTGCCGGGAGGGCCACCGGCGGTGCCACCAGGGCCACCGCCCCCGGTACCGCCGGTGCCGCCAGGGCTACCGCCGCAGCCGCTGGTGCCGGGAGGGCCACTGCCGGGGCCGGCAGTGCCGGGAGGGCCACCGCCGGTGCCGGGAGGGCCACCGCAGGTGCCACCAGTACCGCCAGGGCCACCGCCGGGGCCGGCGCAAAGATGACGCCGGGCGCGGGCGGTGAATCCGCCTCGTCCGCTTTGTCCGGCAAGAAGGTGGCGAGGATCGAGGGGGAGCTCATCCTGGGGGGGATCTTCCCCGTCCACGAGAGGGGCCCCGGCGGCGGCTCCGGCGGCACCGGCGGCGGAGACTGCGGCCCCATCAGCTTCGGCCGCGGCATCCAGAGGATGGAGGCGATGATGTTCGCCATCGACGACATCAACCGCAGCGCCCGCGTGCTGCCCGGCGTGCGCCTGGGGGCGCGCGTCCTCGACTCTTGCCTCACGGATACGTACGCACTCGAGCAGGTGAGTGGAGGAATGAGGAGTTGTGCGGTGAGGTACGCGCTCGAGCAGGTGAGCAGAGAAGTTATGGTGAGTTTGGTGAGGTATACACTCGAGCAGGTGAGCGGAGGGGTGCGGAGTGGTGCGGTGAGGTACGTGCTCGAGCAGGTGAGAGAGGTGACGGTGAGTTTGGTGAGGTATACACTCGAGCAGGTGAGCGGGAGGGTGAGGGTTGTGAAGTGGTGGTGGTGAGAGGCTTACCGCAGCCTTCGCTCGGAGGTTCGGAGAGCCATGAGGTGCTGCAAGGATGGGTGGTGGTCATGGGTTGCTGAGGAGATGGAGTCTGCCTCAGTGGCCAACGATCACAAATCGCTCTTTAATTCCATCAAAAAAATAACTTGCAGCTCCACACCTATTACCATCATTAGGGGAAAGAACGGTGATCCAATATCCGACCCCCAGATTTTCTGAGCATTCCTGTGAGGTCCTGGAGGAGGGGAAATCCCTCAGCCTGCAAACATCGTGGGACAAAGTGGGGATGACCGTGCTAAGGCTGTGGTGCATCAAATATTGGAAGAAGCCACCCCCTGTGAGTGGCTGGCTGAGGTGCCATCTGTTGAGGAAGTACTGAAGGCAATCCAGAGTCTGAGACCAGGAAAGGCACCGGGAGGAGATGATCTCCCAAGCTGAAATGCTGAGGGAGGGTGGCGTGTGTGCACAGACTACCCTACATGACATCATTACAGCAGTCTGGGCCACTTGATGGGTTCTGCAGGATTGAAAGGATGACCTGGTGGTCCCCCTGTAGTTGTTACAGACTGTAACAGACTGTAACAGTCTGTAACAACAAACTGTAACAACTACAGGGGCATCTCACTCCTCAGTATGCGGGGAAAGGTCCTGGAAAGGAATATTAAACATCGCCTTGCCAGGCACGCTGAGGAGAGGCTTGCAGAGTCCCAATGTGGTTTAAGGAAAGGGAGGTCCTGTACAGACGCCATATTTTCTGTCTCTCTGCTACAGCAGAGGTGTAGAGAATTCCAACAAGACCTACATTTCTGCTTTATTGACCTGGTAAATGCCTATGGTACCATGAGTAGTCCTGGGCTATGGGTTCTGCATGCTTTCGGAGTCCCTGACTCTCTGCTCACGATCATTAAGGAGCTTCATGATGGTGAGCTGGTCCGGGCAAAACTATGTGGCAGGGAGTCGGAGCCAATCCCTGTTCACCTTGGTGTGCAACAGGGATGTCCTCTGGCTCCCACAATTAGTTAACATATATTTCGACCACGTAGTTCGTGGGGCCTGGAATGGCTATATTGGAAGAATTTCCATCTGGGACAGATACAATGGAAGGCTGATCGATGCCCGGGTATGGTCAAGGGATGGCTCCCTATTGGTCAACCATGTTATGAATGCCAATGATGTGGTAATTGCTGCTCACTCAGAGGAGCAGTTGGAGGTGCTGCTGCTAAACCTGGAGCGTGCCACTAAGAGGTCGGGACTTACCATCAGCCCCACCAAAACTAAGCACCTGCCTGGTATTTTATACCATCGGACACTCCACCCACACAACTCCTAATTGGTCATGGCACAGTTGTGGAGAGAGTGGAGAGTTTTACATATCTGGGCAGTGTGCTCATGACCGGCTCCAGTTTGACAGCAAAAGTCTCCGAATCAGTCGAGTAGCATTATCTTTTCATCTGTTGCGTAATGCGGTGTGGAAGTTACCTGGTCTGTCGCTCCACACGAAGCTTTGGGTCTTTCGGCCACAGTGATTCCATCAATTCTCTATGCTTGCAAAATGTGGAACCCCCTAATGGAACATCTTCGCCGGTTAGAAACATTTAGGCTGGCTTGCCTACGATCCATCCTGGGTTTAACCAGGCTGGATTGTGTGAGGAGCTCACAAATCCTTGAAAGATCTGGACAATGTCCCATCGGTAAGATCCTCCGGCAGGGAAGGCTGCGTTGGCTGGGTCATGTCGCCCGCATGCCCAGCCACCGCATGCCTAAACAGCTATTGTTCAGCTAGATAGAGGGGGCTAAATGGGCGCGGTACAGGCTAGAGAGGAGATGGAGTACAGGAGGATGTGGAGATGAGTGGACTTGCCGATGACCGGTACCAGCTGTGTTAAGATTGGCCTCTGTGAAGGAGGCTCGTGAAGAATGCTACTGGGAAGTTGGAGGCAGTCGCCCTCCAGCAAGCAGAAAAGGAGGCCAAGGAGAGATTCTCACAAAAATAAGCAGAACGCCAGGTGGCTAAAGCACATCAAGTTAGCACAGTAGGGGGCACAGGTGGTGCATCGGCCAGTCATCTCAGCCAGTCGACCCATGGCACCTGGGTGCCAGCGGGAGGTCGACACTTCACGTGGCCTCAAGGTGCGCAGAGCCTGGCACAAGCTTCGTGGTGACGTCACCGCCACTTCGTGGCGAATGGCGGTTGTTGTTGTGGTGAGGGTGATGTCCATCTACCAGAAACCCCTCCCCACACTGCCGCACCCAGAGACCCCCCCCCCCCACTACCCCAACTTGAGACCCGTGCTAGTCCGAAACCACAAGCGGGGAGGGTCCGGAATTTTACCTAAACGCGCCGTTCCACCTTCTCCTGCCGAGCCAGCGTACGGCTCCTCCTGAACGCCAACCGACTGGGAGGGAGTGTTACGACACTCACTGCGTGATCCACCAACCCTCGCTGCTGCCTCACCAGCGCTGGATCAATGCAGGCAGCAGCAGCGGAGCCACGACCAGCACCGCCTCTTTGAGATTCCCTTTCACCCTCGCTACGACGGGAGGCTGAGCGCTCTTTAGAGATGCACTCATCTCCCTGTGAGTCTATGGGTCTCTGTGTGAGTCTATGGGTCTCTGTGTGAGTCTATGGGTCTCTGCGTGAGTCTATGGATCTCCGTGTGAGTCTACGGGTCTCTGTGTGAGTCTATGGATCTCTGTGTGAGTCTACGGGTCTCTGTGTGAGTCTATGGGTCTCTGTGTGAGTCTATGGGTCTCTGCGTGAGTCTATGGATCTCCGTGTGAGTCTACGGGTCTCTGTGTGAGACTATGGATCTCTGTGTGAGTCTACGGGTCTCTGTGTGAGTCTATGGGTCTCTGTGTGAGTCTATGGGTCTTTATGTGAGTCTATGGGTCTCTGTGTGAGTCTATGGTTCTCTGTGTGAGTCTATGGGTCTCTGTGTGAGTCTATGGATCTTTGTGTGAGTCTATGGGTCTCTGTGTGAGTTTATGGATCTCTGTGTGAGTCTACGGGTCTCTGTGTGAGTCTATGGGTCTCTGTGTGAGTCTACGGGTCTCTGTGTGAGTCTTTGGGTCTCTGTGTGAGTCTATGGGTCTTTATGTGAGTCTATGGGTCTCTGTGTGAGTCTATGGATCTCTGTGTGAGTCTACGGGTCTCTGTGTGAGTCTATGGGTCTCTGTGTGAGTCTACGGGTCTCTGTGTGAGTCTATGGGTCTCTGTGTGAGTCTATGGGTCTCTGTGTGAGTCTATGGGTCTCTGTGTGAGTCTATGGGTCTCTGTGTGAGTCTGTGGGTCTTTATGTGAGTCTGTGGGTCTCTATGTGAGTCTATGGGTCTCTGTGTGAGTCTATGGAACTCTATGTGAGTCTATGGGTCTCTGTGTGAGTCTATGGCTCTCTTTGAAGGTCACTGGTGACTATGCCGATTCCCACCACAGCTCAATGATGATTTCGACATGATGCTGATGCGGCTGACTGTGGATATCCCATGCCACGTGATGCCGTGCTGCGGATGGCCGTGTTGTGGCGTTTGTTGCGTTCCACAGCGGTGTTGCTGGACAACTTCACTCGGCTTCACGCCACAGCGCCTCTCCACGTCTCAGTGTGCCGCCCTCCTCGTGTCTCCCCTGTTTCCTCCTCGTGTCTCCCCTGTCTCCACCTCGTGTCTCCCCTGTCTCCTCCTTGTGTCTCCCCTGTCTCCTCCTTGTGTCTCCCCTGTCTCCACCTCGTGTCTCCCCTGTCTCCACCTCGTGTCTCCCCTGTCCATCCTCGTGTCTCCCCTGTCTCCACCTCGTATCTCCCCTGTCTCCTCCTTGTGTCTCCCCTGTCTCGACCTCGTATCTCCCCTGTCTCCACCTCGTGTCTCCCCTGTCTCCACCTCGTGTCTCCCCTGTCTCTTCCTCGTGTCTCCCCTGTCTCCACCTCGTGTCTCCCCTGTCTCCACCTCGTGTCTCCCCTGTCTCCACCTCGTGTCTCCCCTGTCTCCACCTCGTGTCTCCCCTGTCTACACCTCGTGTCTCACCTGTCCCCTCCTCGTGTCTCCCCTGTCCCCTCCTCATGTCTCCCCTGTCTCCTCCTTGTGTCTCCCCTGTCTCCTCCTTGTGTCTCCCCTGTCCCCTCCTCGTGTCTCCCCTGTCTCCACCTCGTGTCTCCCCTGTCTCCACCTCGTGTCTCCCCTGTCTCCACCTCGTGTCTCCCCTGTCTCCACCTCGTGTCTCCCCTGTCTCCTCCTTGTGTCTCCCCTATCCCCTCCTCGTGTCTCCCCTGTCTCTACCTCGTGTCTCCCCTGTCTCCTCCTTGTGTCTCCCCTGTCTCCACCTCGTGTCTCCCCTGTCTCCTTGTGTCTCCCCTGTCCCCTCCTCGTGTCTCCCCTGTCTCCACCTCGTGTCTCCCCTGTCCCCTCCTCGTGTCTTCCCTGTCTCCACCTCGTGTCTCCCCTGTCTCCACCTCGTGTCTCCCCTGTCTCCACCTCGTGTCTCCCCTGTCTCCACCTCGTGTCTCCCCTGTCTCCTCCTTGTGTCTCCCCTATCCCCTCCTCGTGTCTCCCCTGTCTCTACCTCGTGTCTCCCCTGTCTCCTCCTTGTGTCTCCCCTGTCTCCACCTCGTGTCTCCCCTGTCTCCTTGTGTCTCCCCTGTCCCCTCCTCGTGTCTCCCCTGTCTCCACCTCGTGTGTCCCCTGTCTCCACCTCGTGTCTCCCCTGTCTCCTCCTTGTGTCTCCCCTGTCCTCTCCTCGTGTCTCCCCTGTCTCCACCTCGTGTCTCCCCTGTCTCCTCCTT